CCTCTAAGGCTAGGAAGATGACGCATCGGACCCCTCAATGGTCGACTTTCTTTCTCGGCCAGAGTACTGACAATAGGTGCAGTACTCTAGTGAACACCCTGTTTCTCTGCTTCTACTGGGTATGGTTTGAGAAACGAAACATGATGCGGGTTGGTCGTATGCTTCTCCCAGTCGAAAGCTGAGGTACGTACCCTCACCACCCATTTTTTTTTTCGAGGTCTTCGTACCGGTACCTTCCCACACGAGGAAGAACGGTAGTCGTTGGCAGTCTCAATCCAAAACGACATTGATTCTGAACCTGATCCTCTCCGTTGTCGACTTTTTACCAAATCAACTCGATCGAGTCAAGACCCAGCCGTTGTCGCGAAGTACTCAAAAGCTGGCCGGCCCACATCTAGTGGGCAGACGTTCTGCGAACGACTGACTGAGGGTCTCGTCGGTGTTGGTTGCACCGGCCACGCTTGGCTCATGTATACATACGGTACAAGCCTCCTCTCCCCTAGCATGCTGCTGATATAGATGCCCCTGTTGTTATTGTTGTCGTTGTAGGTAATTGCTGTTGTTGTTACGTGTGGTCGTGCGCTGAAGTGGCTGCTCCAGGAGATCGACCGCGCCGGAGACGACACCTGTACCCCTATTGCTGCAGAAGCCGAGATGGTGGTATCCAGGCAAGGCGTATGCACGCGCTGCAGTGTACAGGACGGAATCTTGCATGGGATTGCACATGCCCCTAGGTAGGTAGGTACGCAAGCTTCTGTACTGCACCGGGTCAGACGCAACAACAGAACAGTGTGACCAATGGGGTTGCTGTGTGCCTGCCTGCGTCCAAAAAGTCTTCGCGATGTTGCTCCTCTTTGCTGAGCAACTGGGCCGGTTCCTGTCGAACTGATGGGCGCGTGTATGGTACATCGACGGTGCGCTGGCGGCGCACGGCAATGCGCCGTATCTGGCTTCTAAGAAGTTACATGTAAGGCTAGACATGACCTGAGGCCCCTCTTTCCCGCCTACCTAGGTGCGGGATGGGCATGAAGCGTACCCACACGCACGCAGGTGCATGCATTGCCCGGCTTGGGGCGAGCCATGGGGATAAACCGCAAGTGCGCAGTAAACGAACCGCCCCCACCTTATCGTCGACAGTCATCGCCAGACATGCTTTTCGCCTGCTTTTTTCTCTTTTTCCTTCTTCTTTTCTCCCCCCCTCTCTCTATATCGAGCTCAAGAACAAGTTCGTGGTCTTGGGGAGGGAGGGTTTCCACCGGAAACCAAAGGAAACTGCCACCCAAAGGAGTTGCGGCCAGTTCAGTCGGCTGAGCCTGGTGAAGGCAACACCGGAACAGGCATGCCGATGAGCCAGGATGTATGGCCTTATCTAGCAAACTAGTTAAGGAATGTCAGGCCAGAGTGATACAAGCCTTGATCCTGGGAATCGTAGTAATCTGGAGCTCATCCAGATAAACCGCGTGCGCACATACACATACACGGCCGACGGGTAGATGATCCTCCTGCATTTCGTGGGTCGTTGGCTTTCTTCCACTGCAGGAAGCTAGAGAGGGAACTTTGAGCGCCATGAGGGATGGGCGCACCGTTGCACCGCTCCAGCTCTTCTCGTGTTCAGCGTCAACCAGGAAACCCGTCCAATACGTACTGTTACACAAGTTCCCGCGGCGTTGTGTCTGAGCCGGCTAGTAACTGAGTTCGCCAAACAGGGCCTGTGAGCCCGCTAATTGTCCAAAGGATAAAGTGAAGAAGAGCTGGAGACACGTGCGCCAATTTGGTGCCAGGTTCAACGTTTGAACCCAACCCACGCCATCTGTAGGAATCTTGCATTGCAGAAAACCGGGCCCTCGGAGCATTTTTAGAGGCACACTCTAACCTGTTGATCGTCGCAGCCCGATTGCTAGGCGCCGGGCGACTGGCCGCTGTCAATAACAAGAAGGCGATCTGGATCCTCTTACTCAGCGAATTGCGAGCTTGGGTGGTGAAGCTTGACCGAGCCTTTACTCAGTGTCTACCATATCTGACTGAGCCTGTGCGGTTGGCATCGTATAACCAGCCTGATGAACCGCGCCAAATGGGTGAGGGAGGGGCAGACGAACCGGTCCGTGTTCAATTAAACTCAGTTGGCACAGAGGATGAACAAGGGGCCGATCTCACATCTCCATCTGGGCGCTGCGCCGCAGAATTCCGGATCGAATCAACCACAGAGGCGTCTGTCAAGTCTCTCGAGCTGTGGCATCGTGTTTTACTCCTAGCTGGTCCCTTCACTGTAGGCTCAGCCACGATAGGAGAACATCGCGTGACAACAGCCTCAGACCAAGAGCGGGACCGGGGCTTGTTGTGAGACGCTTGACGGCATGATGCATGGAGTTTTCTTGGCCCTGGCTGGGCAGATGACTCGGCCTTTTGGTCATGATGGGAAGACATATCGCGGACATACAGTATCTTAGCCTCCGCAGAGTATTCGTACCGGTGCCACAAGCGATGCCGTAAAATAGCATGACAATGGAGGTCAGAAGCGGCAGCAGGATCCAGACTCGATGGCCGAGGTTCCACTACCATTGACTGACCACGGCCCAGGACAGTGTCGCCCAAGCTTCGAAGTGACTGACCGCGGTTGTCCAGGTCCAGGTGGAAGAGGCCCCAACCTCGGATAGGTGGATAAGGGGGGGGGTGTGGACCGACGGTGTTTCTTTTTCTATATCTTGGCAGCCGTTGGGGCAGTGGTTGTGATGCGCCTTTTCTGGACCCGACGAGAATGTTTTGCCGGTCGATGGCTCCCTCGTGCGGAACCACCATTGTCGCCCTTTCTCGCCATGGGGACGATGGGCTGAAAGCCCGGACTCAAAGAGGATCCGTGAGAGCTAGCCGGGGCTAGCGGAGCAGGGTTAAGTTGAAAAAGGTGGCAGGTAGACGAGTGGTGTGGACCGTGGTGTCAATGTTTGCTCAAGGGAGGTTGGGCGAACCCCGCTGGTTACTAACGGAACAGTTTCCACCCGTATACCGTATCCTCTGGCTAAACTGACATACCGCTAGTATTTGGGCTAACGGCAAGTGGTATTGCGGCCGCTAATCAACTAAGCCTATTACAGAAGGCGGTTAACCTACCTATCTACCTACCTATCCACCTAACTACCTACTTACTAGCTAGCCTATAATTAACTTTACTAGCTTATTAACTTTACTAACCTACGTTATTTATAATACCTAACCACTAGCTGCTAGGTAAAGTTAATCTAAATTATACGCCTTAACGTAAGATAGGTAAAAAGCCTCTACTTATTATAGAGTAATAATATACACTAAAAAAACTAATTTAGTAGCTTTAGAGGTTATACTAGTAATTAAAGTAACTTAACGTACTAATATACCTTAAGTACTACTAATACCTATCTAACGCTGCCTATACTTACTAATAGGCTAGTAATATACCCCTTAACCCTACTAACAGCCTCTACTACCTAAGTTTCTATAAGGCTACTACCTACTTTAAAATACCTATTATAATAGTAGTTAACTAGTACTAAAGATAATTAACTATTATTAGCCTAACTATATAAGAATATTAACTATAATAGCTAGTAATAAAAGCTAACCTCTTTAGTTACTTTTAGTAATAATAAGCTTATAATAAGATAGTTACTACTAGATAGTTTAAGTAAGAGGCCTAGGCCTTTTTTACTACTAAATACCCTAACATCTTTATAGCTAGTAACCTACCTACTTATACCTACCCCTTCTAATTCTCTACTAGCTAGTTTACTAGCTTTTTTAAATAATATAATATTTTATACTACTAGCTTATAAAGTAAGCCTTAAAGCTACCTGCTAAATACCTTACTATTATTACTAACTTTTTTTACTTTAACTAATAAGTTAGTTAGCCTTTATTAGCCTACTAGCCTATTAGTAGCCTCTAATTTCCTCCTAACTATATTATTAACTTTAATAAAACCCCTATACCCTTTAAGTATCTTAATAGGTTAACTTAGGTAGCCTAAGGGGCTTATATTATAGCTAGTAAGACTAACTATAGTAGCTAGAGTAAGCAGTAAGCTACCTTAATCCTTTATATCTTTACTAATAGGATTTAATAGCTACTACCTAAGTTAATTTTTTATAGCTAGCTAGGTAGCTACCTTATAGTATATAAAGGTGACTTATATAGTAATAAGTTAATAGTTAAGTATAATAATATAGCCTATAATAATAAATATCTCCTTAGGTAGTAGCTAACTAATAAATTCTTTTTTTTTATAGTAAGGTAAAAGTATCTATTAGTTATAGATATTACTACTTTTTATAAGACCTTTATAATACTATTATAACTTTACTTTTATTATATTACACTAAGCCTTATACTGCTTAGTATAACCTTTTTTTTTTAACCTCTAGATACTACTATTAATAAGCCCTTTAAGTAGTAGTTATCTAAAGTAACTAATAAATATATATAGTAAATAAAGTAAGAAGCCTACTAGCCTATTCTACCTATCTAGCCTATCTAGCCTATTTAGCCTATCTAGCTAGGCTAGCTTATTAAGTAGTCTATATTAATAAAATAAATTATAGTTACTTATATAGTTATAGTAGCTACCTATTACCTAGCTAAAAAAGGTAATATAGTCTAGTAATTTTTTCTTTAGTGTAAGATTAGTACTAATCTAGATAAAAGTAATATTAATAAGATTTAGATTAAGGATATACTAAATAAGAAGATATTATAGGATAAATAAGATAACTTTAACTATAACGCCTATATAAAAAAGGAAATAACTTAAGAAAAGATACCTAATGTTAATATAAATAATAACTACTAAGAGTATATATCTCTAGCTAAAGACGTCTAGTAAGCTATTAGAGGTAGTTTAATAAGGCTATAGGAAATCTAGTAAGATATAGAAAGATAAGAGGAAATCTAATGCTAATTTAAAGTCTGTTTGCTGGCCCTTGCCACCTAATTTGCTTCTAACGTACATAACTAACCCCTGCTTTTGCTACTTCTAGATCCCTGCTTCTGCTAGCCCACTATGCCCCTTACGGCGGCCGCGATACCACTTGCCGTTAGCCCGAATACTAGCGGTATGTCAGTTTAGCCAGAGGATACAGTAGGTACCGGGTGCTCCAGCAGACCGCAGGTCGCCCGCCGGCCTAAACCACCTTGGGTTAGGAAGGAATCGAGCTGGATTGGCGGGGACTTGGGCGGGCACATTTGGGCCGACGCCGATGGCAGCCAAGAATGAGGACCCGGCTCAATGCATGACTGACCTTCCTTTCGCGCGCAGGTCGATGACGAAACACCAGCGACCAGCGCGGAGTGAAAGCAATCCGTCGATTGACGCGGCTGGAGGTGTATTCAGGTCTGAACCAGCTCCCGCCACAGGCATCTCGAAATAAGACATTGACCCTGCTGGGCGGGTCAGGCCGTAAGACCAGCTGCGACCAAGGGCTGTGTCAAGAGCAGCGACCTCCGGCAGGCAATACGTGTACCGTACATCGTATATCAACAGGATACGTTTGTGCAACGACAAATCCGATGCGTTCTGCCTAGTACGAGAAACGCGGGAACTCATCGAAAGATGTCCAGTCAGCATCTTTCATTGCTAATCTTCGTTTGATTTTGGATTCTGCGACTCGAAGCCTGTCGATAGTGTTGCTAGCTATCGTAGCATGGAAATAACGCAGGTAGGTGTTTTAAGTCTGAGAAGGATGCAATGCGGTGGAAACGAGCAACGGCCAAGCCCTCTATTGCGTGCAGTGGGCGATCTCGATTTAGGTGCTGGACATAATTCGGGAAGTGCCGTTATCAACTTTTTCCTCTGTCGCTGTCGGTACGCACGAGACGTCTGCCGTACGGTGTCCAGGATCCATCGTAGGGTTGGAAGGTGAGAGGGGAGGCATGGTGGATGTTTGAGGTGAGAAAAGCCAAAGTACGGAGGAGCACCATGATGGGATGGATGGCTTGTTGGGAAGCTGGCAGCGTGAGACAATGCCACGGCATGGGGGGAAAAAAGAAGAAGAACAGACTGATAGCCGGCTGGCCGGATTGTTTTGTTAGCAACCTTTCTCTCTCGTTTCCCGGATGTTCCCTCCTGATCCAGGTTACGATAGGATCTCCCGACCAATATCTGTCGAGCGAGCGAGGATGATGGAAGCTAGTGCAAGGTACAGATGTATTTTTCCAGGCCAAAGGACTGTGAGGCAAGGTAGGTACGAACATCGTGTGATACGTACACAGTAATAGGTAACCAGCCAGCCTGGTATGGATGGAGTCATGCATCCAGGCGGAGGGCAACCTGCCTTCGTCTCGAGAGGAAGGAAGGCACGCTCATCGAAAGAAAGGGTGGGGAGAGGGGGTGGCGTGTCAAGCAGCAGCAGCAGCATCATCATCATCATCATCATCATCATCGCAGAAGGCATTCGCTTGCTACCTACACAGTGGTATGTATGTCCAGGTACGAATACCCATGGCAAGCAGATGATGCATCGAGGATTATTTCCAAGGCTGGATGAGTCTTACGGTCGACTATATCACGAGCGGAAACTCGAGCGAGATTGTAGGAAAGTCTGGGGCTTGGAACGGTTCCTCAGGCACGAAACCCATCCATTTCATGATCCAGGGGGAGGAAGGCGGGTGGGGTTGCATCAAGGGCTCAAGTGTCGGAGAGTGGTCGCGACTGTTCACTTCCAGTCACGGAAGGAACCTACTTACTACCCACCTACCACCTACTTACCTACCTACCCGCTGGGCCGAGACGAGCGCCTTCTCTTTCCAACATCTATGTTTTCTCCTAGTTGCGTTGCGTGAAAATGTCGATTTGGTTGCCCAAGACAAGCTGCGAGGTCCAAAGGCCAACCAACGGCAATTGCCAGCCACCGCCTAACCGCAATGAGGTTCTTCCTAGTTTCCCCATGTGGTTCCTTCTTGCCTTGTCTTTTACCCACTCGCGCTCCACAAGGAGAGGCAGGCAGGCAGGGATGAGGCAGCGTAGGCAAGCACATAGGGTTCGCGGCGGGGTCGGCGCGGAGAACAACACAGCAATCAGCGCGAAAGGCGCAGCACATGGCATGGGCAGTCTGGAGAAGAAAACAAGTCAAGACATCTAGTACGAGCAGATTCCCTACCTCGGGTCGATGAGCGAAGTCAAGGTGGGTGCTACAATGCGGGCCAATGACCGATGCTGGTGCGATAATAACGAGATGGCAGAAATTCACCGAGTAGACGGTGAAGACCAGGCAACAGGGTCGGCCAAGGTAGCGTTGCAAGATCTGCCATTTGACATGCGCATGGCCGGCCCTCTGCCGCACAGCGCAGCAAATGTCTGTGCCCTCGAGTATCGACATCGGGATCCAGCCAGCGTGTTTTAATACGGATGCTAATGCATAGTGCCAGATCAGAGATCCATATTGCAGTGTACAATGTAGTTTAGGTAGTTCGCTCGACACACCACCTATCGACTCTTCCCTACCCGACCTTGGCTTCTTGGTACGCCCAGCGAGTAAGCCAACTGCGGCAGAATTCAGAAACTCAAGCCGGCGTAGAGCCGTTTCTAGGTTCGGCAATCGCCAACGAACGAGCCTCCCACCCCTCCTAGCTCCAAGTGCTAAGCCGACGGCGTCATTCTTTGGTGGTTAGAAGAAGCGTCGAGAAGACGATGAAGCGCCGACGGCTTACTGCCTAGTTCGTGTTCAGCTTCTTCAGCTTGGTAAATTTTACTTTTTTCCTTCATGTTTTCCTCTTCTTTTTCATTCCGTTACCGGGTCGTCAACTCTCAACGACGTTTCCTTGGTGGTGGTGGTGGTGGTGGGGGGGGGGGGGTGTGGGGCATCGCAGTTTTGAACATGTTAAATTGAGCTGCGACAGTCAGTGCATTTATTATCAAGGTCGTCGTACGTCATCGGATATACAATCAAATTGTGCCGGTATGCTTTACCTTGCTGCCGGGAACATTATACTTTTTTTTTCTTTCACTCAAAGCAATGGACACCAGACCTCTAGGTACACTCGCCAACCGGATGACATGGCTTGGTTTGTCGGAACGGCAGCTACTTGCATTCCTGACTGAACTTAAGTCCGGGACAGATGTGGATGAGGGGGGTATGGCGTGTGGGCACGCTGTGCATCGTTGGCAGCAGAAACACCCAATACCCAAGCACACAGAGTCCGACAGACTTTCGAGGTTCGGTCGAACAACAAAGGTAACAACAATGGCACGGGCAATGAATCCAAGGGAAGGAGGTAACGCCAAGTCCAAGGCTCGAGGGCGGATGAACAATAAGACCAAGGAGCACGGCCGTCCGGGACGGTGTGTCAACCATCCAAGAACCGAGCCCGCTTGTCGTATGGCTTCAACCACTATTGCCGCTGCAGCCATCGTCAGTTGCCGTCTCTGTCTGCTGAACCGCTCGGGTCGCGTTTTCAACGCACCCAGCCACCCAGCCTACCGGACTTTACTGCGGGCTCCCAGCCAGCCATGGTAGCCCCCCCACAGTCCGAGTGATGTGAGTTGATGCCGGACTCGACCGTTGTCGGGGGAATGTAAGCCATCTCCGTGAACCAGCTCGGGACGTCAACTTTGTTGTGTGATGGACAATGCGAAGCTACGACGATGTTGCGCCGATGCTGGAGTGAGAGGTCATTGCGCCATTGGGACTTGATACTGATAACCGACGACCTCCGTATGGATGGAGGGGCTGTGCCGGGGCTTCGACAGAAGCTAGCCTCGCCGAGACAGCAGAGTAACCGGACGTCAAGCTGAGTCGAGACAGAGAGAATGGACGACTTCAAACTGGATGAGAGGGAACTCCAAAACTTTCCCCTGGTAGTTTCTTGAATTGTCATGCTCCGTGCGCTGTGCGAAGAGGGACTCGGAAAACCACCCATCATACCGAGAAAAGGGATAAGGAAGAAAGGACGATGCAAGCACGAGCGAAAGGAACAGAGCCTACCACCACACCTCATCACTTCATACCGACAAGGACATTCATTTGTTCCTCTGTTGGACACGAATGGAATGGGCGGCACAGATTCAAAGGCTCAAGATTGGACCCACCGCAACCTCTGATGCCATATTGAGGCCCTGTGTCCCATGTTCCGTCGGCGTCTTGGCTCATCATGTCTGATTTGTGTGTTTGGGCAACAAGGAGTGCCCACTGTCCATCTGGTGACCCTCGCTTTCAGGTTTACCGGGGGGGGGGGGGGGAGGGGGAGGCTTGTCCTGGCCTCTGGAATCTGTAGCGTGGAGGCATTGCTCTAGGGTCGGTCGAGGTCGGTTGGCCCAGTCCAATCCATGTCCATCCACGTCTACACTTCCCAAATCTCAGTCGCAGTTGCGGTCGGGAGAAGAGAGGTAAGATGCCCGCACAGGTAACGATACCTCGTCTCGGAAGGGAATTGGACCAAGTGTACATACACTACGTCTCTAGCTCTCTCCCTGTCAGGCATTATCGCTCAGAGTTTCCATACCTGGCCCTGTCTTCTTTTGCGATACCCTTCGTCCTTGAACCCATCCTACGCCGAACACTCCACACTGTCCGTCCGCTGCAGTATGTACACTACGTACGGACTGCCCAGCATTGTTGGGCGTGTGTCCCCTCTGAAAGACCGACAGACCGACGGCGACTGACTGGGGCTTGATCTCAGGCCATGGGCCACCCTGGTTGAAGCCAACAGACCCCTCTCTTCTCGGTGCTACGCTGCTCCAGCCACGCCCCTAAGCGAGAGCCAGGAAAACGACAACGGAGCGAGCCCACGTCCAGCGAAGCCCTCCACGCCATTACTCTTGTTGCACACCCCTCTCCCTAGCCCTCCTCTCTCTCCGCCTTTCCCCATCGACGACCACCCTTCATCCACCGAACGGCGGCGACGGCTAGCTTAGTTCCTTGCCCGTACCACCCTTCAAGGGCTCAGGCAGTTGGCTGAGAAATTTCCTTTGCGCGCCCTAGCCCGGCACAGTGGTCAAGACCGAAGAAGAGACGAAAACGAGAGGCGGAGGCCGACGGCAAAGTCGCTTACCGATGCGGTCGCGGTCCAAAGTAACAAGGGGTCCCAGGAGCAGGGCCCTCAAGGGGAGGAAGGGGGAAGATTTGACGTGAAAGCATAAAACAGGCAGGAAAATTAGAATACACGTATCATACATGGAGGGGGGAAGGGCCGCTGCTAGCTAAGGCAAGGTACAGAAAGGTAATGTGAGGCGAAAGCGTCATATCGCGGGTAAAGTCTCGTGCAGCTACCTAGAACAGACACAAGTCACGATACGGACAGGCTTATTCAGAGGACGAGGATGAAGAGGGGACATTACGAGTCAAACCCCCCACTTTTCCCAAAAAAAGGCTTCTTCTTCTGGTGCTCCCCATAGAGCTGGAGACCAAGTCAGGAAAGAAGAAG